AATTTACAGAAGCACTGCAGTAAAATAAAACATGTTTAATTTACAGGAGCACTGCTGCAAAATAAAACATGTTTAATTTACAGAAGCACTGCAGTAAAATAGAACATGTTTAATTTACAGGAGCACTGCGGTAAAATAAAACATGTTTAATTTACAGGAGCACTGCGGTAAAATAAAACATGTTTAATTTACAGGAGCACTGCGGTAAAATAAAACATGTTTAAAAAACAGGAGCACGGCGGTAAAATAAAACATGTTTAATTTACAGGAGCACTGCAGTAAAACAACACTTCTTTAATTTACAGGAGCACTGCGGTAAAATAAAACATGTTTAATTTACAGGAGCACTGCGGTAAAATAAAACATGTTTAATTTACAGGATCAACACGGTAAAACATAACAACAATGTTGTTGGTAAAAAAAAAAACTATTTTGAACCACGTGCACCAAAAGAGACAAGAAGCTGTACCGGCGACGTCATACTCTATGTCCGTATAAGATATAGGCCCTGGTGGTGGTGGGTTGAGTTAGAAAACATGTTCGACGTGACAAAGACCCTATATACCGAGCCAACGATCTGGACTCTATTTGGAAATTAGAAAACCCGTTTTAGAGTTAATTCCTAAAATATGTCTGCGGTAGTGGGGGGTAGAGAGCAATATCTTTCTTTGCCCCTATGTTCGCCTGTTTCAGTTATTTCTGTGGTTCCAGGTGGACCATCTAGAAATATAACGGTTTTATCAAAATAGGTAGACATTGCACGTGCTACGTCTCAGGCTAAAACACGCGCTCACCTGAAACAGAATCAATACCTCTACACGCGGAGTGTTGCACGAAACATGACACAGCTAGAAGTATCGCACGAAACTTGACACAGCTAGAAGTGTCGCACAAGATATGACACAGCTAGAAGTGTCGCACAATATATAGCACAGCTAGTAGTGTCGCACAAGACATGACACAGCCAGAAGTGTCGCACAAAATATGACACAGCTAGAAGTGTCGCACAAGATATGACACAGCTAGAAGTGTCGCACAAGATATAACACAGCTAGTAGTGTCGCACAAGATATGACACAGCCAGAAGTGTCGCACAAGATATGACACAGCTAGAAGTGTCGCAAAAGATATGACACAACCAGATGTGTCGCACAAGATATGACACAGCCAGAAGTGTCGAACGAAACATAACATAGCTAGAAGTGTCGCACGAGACGTGGCACAGCTCATAGATACATACTATAGAAAGAGTGTCTGGATGTAATGATAAACAAGCAACTCCTCGAGCTGGCTGAATTAAAAATTATGTCGATAGGAGTTTTTGGGTTCTTCAAGTGTGTAAACACTTACCAGAAATACCGGGTCTCGTTCATTAAAAAAGTTTTAGTTACAAACACTACAGGACAGCTCTCCATAGGTTGATCACACTTCCTGGAAAGTCACGTGACACCAGTTAGTTGTGTTGGTTAGATAACACAACAATTTTCACATAGTGTAGAAATGAAGACAGAAATGTTTCTTCAACCTGTAGGTTAGCAACACCTAGTTGAATTGTTAAGTAGGGGTAGGCCCCCTATAGGCAGGTTAACTGTGTTCACCTCTGCTGCTTGAGTGGAACACTTCGCTAACGAAGATCGAGCTGGCGATTGTTAACTTCCAACCGTTCGTTTAGGAAACTCAAACTAACAGCTATTGCATTGTTAGTTAAAACTAAGGAGCTCAAGATATCTAGAATTTGTCTTTTTGACTAACAAAAGGATTTATTAGAAGTCGAGAATTTGAACGGGAGGAGCTACTCAAGGGCCGAGCACGCGCACGGCGAGAGGATCAAAGACTCACTGCTAGCGTTTCTTTTATTCACAAAGCTGGTGACGTTTTCCATTGGTTCAAACAATCACGTGACGCAACAGAAATGGTCGGATTCCGTTATCAATCCAGAAATGCGACTCAATGCTGGTTGAAGGAAGTGGTGTAAAGGCGCTCGCGGCTGAAATTAACGACGACAATTTTGATTCCCAATGTCGGACTTTTAGCGAAGATTTTGGTGCCATCTGCGGGATGGAGAGCGGGTTTATCAACAGCCAGCCGTCCATGGCAGAATTTATGACGGCGGCGCCTCACAGAGGACCATCAATCAACAACTCGCCACCTCTCTGCCAACTGGAGAATGTGAATCAGCAGCCCCTCGCTCCTGCTGTGTGTTCAGCGACAGTCCAGTCAACTAAACATCCCGGCTCGGGAGACGGGCTCGACGTTTCGGTCCCGGAGTATCCTTGGATGAAGGAAAAGAAAGCCGTGCGCAAACAGCATCAAGGTAAAATTTGTTTGTTTGTTTTTTACTGACCTCCAATAGTTGAAGACTATTAGTTTTTAAAAGTAATGTTTTATTGTACACCTTATAATGAAGAGTGCTGACCGCCGAGGGTATCAATCACTCGGCTACGGTTGTCAATCTTAGACTCACGCCAAGCCACGGTGTGAGTGTCAGCTTTCTCCAGCTGAGTGAATAATCAGTTTGTTCTGCTGCTCTGTGGTGAGGATAGGATAATACCACCCCACAGTTACATGATATTATATAATATCAGAACAATATATGATATTAGGAGGCCATATCAGGATACTACATGGTATCAGGATGCTATATAATATCAGAATACCATACAATGTCAGGGTTTCCGGATGGTACATAACATCAGGCTATTAGTATAATGTGATATCAAGATACTATAAGACAAAAGATGGCCTTGTGAGTGACATTTCTAAACATGGACATCAGACATTTCAAGATTATGTTAAGTATAGGCTTTGTCGTATTTACACAAGATATCTGTTAAAAGACATAGAGATAACACTGACAACACAGTAACTAATACAATATTAAGCCTTCCTAATTAGTCACTTCATTAAACCTCTAGTGGCACATCTTTATTTCAGTGTTAATGAGGAGTTACAAAGTACTGAACTTAGCTCGTGTTCTTTTACTCTGTAAAACTTTAGAATTGACGACAATGCGGGCTGGTTTCTATAAAGAGAAAATATTCGTTGAAACAAGCCAGTGTTGCCTCTGACTACAAAATAGGAGCAGAGTGACAGCTGTAGGATCATCCCAAGCAGCTTTAGTTACGAGATAAGTTGTAGTTCCTTAAGCCGTTTCACAGTCATTTACGGTTGTTTATTCAGGTTATTTTATTATGTTTTTCTGTTTATTAAGACTCTGTTTTTATTGTAGTAGTTTATTCAGGGTTTGTTTTTATTGTAGTAGTTTATTCAAGGTTTGTTTTTCTTGTGGTAGTTTATTCAGGATTTGTTTTTGTTGTGATTTTTTCTTCAGGGGTTGTTTTTATTGTGGTGGTTCATTCAAGGTTTGTTTTTCTTGTGGTAGTTTATTCAAGGTTTGTTTTTCTTGTGGTAGTTTATTCAAGGTATATTTTTATTGTGGTAGTTTATTCAAGGTTTGTTTTTCTTGTGGTGGTTCATTCAAGGTTTGTTTTTCTTGTGGAAGTTTATTCAAGGTTTGTTTTCTTGTGGTAGTTTATTCAAGGTAT